CTACGATAATTCACATGCGTATGATCAAATGCAGCTAAGTAACATGCTCATGCTACCGGAAAATTATTTAGCCTTCGAAGATTCTTTCATGTCTGCATGGGATTACAAACCGAACATTATAATGGATAGAGTTAACAATAATGAAATATTCTACGATGGAGTGCCTCTGATACCTTCTAACGATCCATGGTCAGTTTACAATAATGATAACACTGGATTAGAGTTTTATTCACCTCACTATGGAATACCAAGCGGAGAACAAGATGGAATAGAATATATGCCGCTCACAGATTTAGATACGATTCCACAATATATGAGTTTACCTGGAGAAAATATAAATAATGCAACTATTGAAGCACAATCAGAACTAATTAACATCGATGCTCCTGACTTAATCAACAGCGACCTCTTAACGTTAAAAGATCCTACTCATTCTATTTCGTCAAATATCGTATCAAGTGACAAACAAGTGAGTAATATTGATTTTTGTGAAAATCGAGAATCGTCAACAGAAACGGAAGAGTCATTCAACGCCGATATATCAAACGATGTAACATCTAGTTTAGCTTTTGTACCTAGCAGCAAAAGTTCGCAGAGGCCGGATTGCTCTGATAATACGAGTGACGACACTTCCCCTTGTTCTACAGATTACCACGAAGCATCCGCTCTTGATTTAGTTCAGAGTTTAGATGAAATATCGTCCTGCGATAGCTCTAACTTTTCGCAGAGCAGAGATATCTCGCCAGTTAATAATCAACTAACAAAAACTAATGAAAACAAAGACTATGAGAATAATGTTAAGCAATGCTTAACGAAAGAACAACTCGAAACCAATATAAATGAAACTCAGCAAATTCAGCAAGAATTGATAGATAAACTAATACCTATCTTAAACATTAATAATATTTCAACTGAAGATCTCAATTTGTGTGGTTTATCATACAATAAAATTTTTAATATAAATGTAAATGAAGAGTCAGAAGAACAAAAAATAAAGTTTGCAGAAAACTCTACACAAGGGTCAAATGTGAATAAACCAATAGGAAATGTAAAGAACGATGTATTGGCGGAACCGCTTACCTCTGAATCCTCTGCTGAAAGCAGCCTGCGAATAAATACGGATGATGTTTCTTCAAGCGAGAAAAATTTTGAGTGTGAAACTCCAAAAGCAAGTACATCCGTAATCAAATCTACCAAAGAAGCCAAACATATTAATACTGAATCCAGTCATCAAAATAGTGAACCATCAGAATCTAATAATGAAGTTTCATGTCGATTAGTAGTAGACAAACATAATATTGAAGAAAAATCTGTTCAAAATTTCGCAATACATAACAAAGTCGAAGTAAACTTGAAAGGCGATTCAAATTTAACTACCCAAAAGTCAAGCGGTAATGAAAATTCTGTGAAAGGAACACAAACTATTAGTAATACAACGAAAATCCAAAATTTACCTTTGGATATGAAGCCAAATGCTACTGAACCGGAAATATTAGAAACATGCAAATCTGTGAAGCGTAAAAATAGTTTGCCTTCGTCACAATCATATATAAACATTAAGACAAAGAATACTGCTGCCAACACGGGAACACAACCTTTACAGCCCCCTGCAGTACCTGCTTCTTGGCTAACGTCAAAACCGGTAGCTTCAACAAGCAATCCACCACCTCCGCCTCAAATATTTATACAGAGAGAAGAGAACATCAAAACTAAAACAGAAGTGAATTCAGTCCACAAAACGCAGCAGCAATCGAAAAAAGAAAACGAATTTTCGACGTCGATAGTCCAACCTCAACCATCTTGCTCATACATGCAACCTCAGGCTGCTGCGACATCTCAAATATCACAGCCCAATCCTGAAAAACTGAAACCAAAAGAAGTAGAGGTCAGCACATATTATAACACGCTTCATTTAAACACGTCCTATAAAATGTTATGTTGCATCAAAAGCAACGCAACACTGTCAGTGAGCGTATATTAAGAACGATACGCGTCTATATTTGCACGTTATATAATTAGGTCAAGGTTTACCTTTCGAAAAAAAAGGAACTAAATTAAAAGTTTTTTGCATGAAAATTATTTGCATGATTTACTCTAACTCCAAAAATTTTGTAAAGCGATAACGAAAAAAATATTGAAATTAAAAGTTTTTATGTGAAGTGGGTTTAAGCGCCAATACAAACTACAGATTGTAAACGTTGATTCAATACCAACCAAAAGAATGTGTATGAATATTTTAAGAACCGAAATAGTATCGACAGATGGTCATAACTATGCATTTCGAAAGTCAATTGCTAGATGGCGCCACATTTTGCGGGTTTGTTTTTATGCTAAGCGCACCACGCATGCGCGCACCGAAATAGTATTGCGATGATCACCTTCACCTAGGAGAAACTGACATTGTTCGTTATATTCGAAATCAGCATGCCGTCGTTCTTGTGGCATCGCTAACCTTTTACTTTAACCACTTTACGTGAAATTAATTACATTTGTATTGTTGTAATTTATATCACTTCACTAAAGTTAACCATTACGACCCTACAATTGTTGTTCTAATAATTACGTATGAAAGAATAATGTTTTTCTAAACATGGTATCACAACTTTTTATAACTCTTAATAAATGCATCTTGGTACATTTGTATGCTTCAAAACACATCAAAAAAATAACTTTTATTCCCATCGAAAGCAGGTGAACTAAAGATTCGCTCGATAGAAAGTATTTATTATCGATCGTGGTTGTTAGCATCTCTGGGCGCATGCATAGATATGCCGTCCAACAATGTTTTCGAATTACGAGGGATTTGTTATAGCTTTGTGGGAAATTTAGAGACAAGGAGTACGCTGTGAAGAAAAGAGAATTATACAGTGGTGAATAGATGAGAATCATTTCAAATTAATTCCTCAGAGCGCTCACAAAAAAAAGGGAGAGCACCGCAAGAGTCCTACCGTAAAGAGGTTCCAAACGTTACTTGAGAATGTATATTTACTACTTTATTATGAACCCCGCTCTGAATATATTACATCGAACCCAATGACCCCAACACTCGTAACTTTTACTCTTTGACATATCGTAATTTATAACAAAACGTTGCACACAACAAAAGAAACAATATAGTTCCATGGAAATAACAACAACACCGCTGTACATAACACTAGTAATCAAAGAACACATGTCTGTGTAGTTTGGAAATTTACTAGTTACGAATCGTACTATGAGATGTCAATTGAAACCCGTTAAAGCCGGCTACGCTGAGATACGCTCGACAAACAAAAAAAGAGAATTATGTAGCGTTTATTATCTATTACATTGTACAGTTTTGCATACGACACGTTCAAATGAAATTTTAAGAAATATACTCTTACTACTTACTGAGTTTAGTTTTTGGGGCGATCGTGATATGATCAGTAAAATATTTATTTGACAGTATGAATTCAAAAAATGGTCAGAGTTGACAATATTTTATTAGGTAACTCTTTTTAGTTATGTTGATTTTGGTCACTGAACTTTTTAATATACGTAACATTCTGTTTTTAGAATTTTATGTTAGTAGAATATTCATCTGTGGATAGTTCTTGATTTTATATTCGTAAATTCTTTTTAAATGCGCCCTCAGATTATCAAAGGTTTTTCTCAGTTTGATCTAATTGAAAGATAGAATGATTAAATGTACTGCAGATGGTAACTATAAAAAAATATTGATTCGTCTTTACAATACCTCTCGTATTAAAATCACTGGCATATGCGGGTACGCTTCACAAAAATTCTCTTACTTAACACAAATACCTTTTTACATAGCAAGCTCGATAATTAAGTTTTTCGAAAAAAATGTAATCATTTAGTATAGGGAAAAATTCTGAGCATCGATCACGAAATATTTAATGACCTCAAACAGCTATTTCCAAATCACTATTTGTACTGTTTTAGTAAATACTTTCGAGTAGGTCAAGTCCACCTTATAGAGGATGTGATGCACGCTATCGCATATGAAGTCGGCTCGTGTTTAGTGTAGGGGCGGCCGAGATGTGTGCCCTGATAATGTACTACTATACGTCGACTAGCCCAGCATTCATTTGTTAATGCCTAGTTCCTTCCGGTCGACCTTACTGATATCGATACGTAGTGCACCAGAAGTTTTTACGGCATTTTAACTCGACAAAACTTTTTAAAAAATTGAAGAAACATGTAATTTTTTCAAAGTATAATAATTTATAATAATTACCGTAACTCTTTGTGAATTTTTGTTCATCATCCAATTATTGTGTGTTGTTATATTTATTATCTAAATGAAAGAGCAAGGTCAATAACTCGGGTAACCACGGGAATGTATCACAAAATCGAAGAATCATTCGTGACACGTCGCGTTTCTTGTGAATTCGTTGAATGAATTGTTTCAAGAAAACTAATATAAGTAAGCGAAAAATCAAGATGTGGATTTGACGCGGATAAATCCTGTTTCAACCGAAAGTTTCACAGACAATTGTTGCTCCATTCAAGCTTGTTACCCTTAATTAAAATGCTACTACATTTGAGACGGGCCTCGTCTTAACAGTCTGAGCTCAGTTACACTGACGAGTGCACGTGGTTATTAAAAATATATATTTCAAACTAAGTTGCAAGTATTTACAGATCATCTCACGTGGGGTACTATTTATTAGACAAGAATCGTATTACATTGGCGGTATTACTACACAGTGGTGTGTTATAATCGGCCGGCTACCCACCCGCCGCACGTTTACGAATCGCGTTCCTGTCTTAAATAAATATCAGTGCAGTGATTGTGTAGTGAAAGAAATGGCAGAATTGACATTAAAAAATGACCGAACACGGCTACCGCTAAAGTTTAGCTCGTTTTATGAGCTTTACAAACGGTTTTTAAAAGATCACGGCTGTAAGTGGCACGATGTTTCTAAACTCTTATCGGTTGTCGCGGAGATACTTTTCGATGTCGACGGTACATGTAGCAAGATTTTAGGAAAGGTCAGTACTTAATGAGATTTCAAATTTTTAAAATTTTCTGATGTTAACCGCCATTTCAATAAGCAAAAAAAGTTCCCTGCTAGAAAACTGTGAACGGAGGCCGAGTACCCGACTTTTAATAAAGACCTTCTTTACCTGCTCATCCCTTATTTCAAACACAATGTACCCAAAGGAACTGCATTTCGAACAGCTGTGTGTTCAGTAGAAATTCCACATTCTTGTATCTAACGCGTGCGTAATACTAGCATTTTCTATGAAATAATAATAGAATATTGCATTAATTGTACATAAACATCGGTCGTTTTATTATGCATTTATAATAAATCCGTTTTCTTGATATAATATTGCATCACTCATTTCTAATTTCAGTAGACCAAGTTGTGTAAATTACAAATGAAACCGTACATTTTCTTTGAAGTGTTAGAAAAATTTTTTGAATTTAACTATCCACTATTGCCAGACTATGATTTTCCGGTACGTATTGATAAATGAAAAAAAAATTGTCACGAAAAACACTACTAGCTATGACACAAGTGTAAGACCGTGTACTAACATTCAGCGTACGTTAACCTCAATAACATATTTTAATTTTATTACATTGAATGATATTTCGAAACGCTTAAGTAAACAAGCAAAGTGGAAAACAAAATGTTTACACAGTTTTGTTACGTTGCTGCACTAACGAAAATAATCGTTAAGCATGTATGTGCTATTTTCTGTGCAACCATTGAAATATTTCAAAATTTCAGTACCTAAATCTAATGTTAAAGTCGTAGAATATCGATTAGTTTGAACGGCCCTTAATAAAGATAGATAGTCGTCACTTAAGGTATTCAGTTATTTTTATTACATAAAGTAAAAACAGAGATTTCATTATTGTTTAAATGATACGCGTGTACTAGTAAATATCTAACAATCTGGCAGTCAAGCAGAAATAAACTCATTTACAAAAAGATAAGCGCGAGGTGGCGGCACGCGCAGCAGGCATGTTAGTGTGTGACGTTTTATCAACAAATCTCCGATGTAACGCCCGCATCCGTTGACAATCAGCCGTCGTTCTTCAAACAAATAACAGTTTTGTCAATAATTGCAAGTCAATGAATGAATAAATAGTTTCGGCGTGATCGAAAAATGTCTCAGAATAAAGATACATTAGATGTGCGCAAACAAAGCATCGCGAACGTTCGTTGCGTAGACCATACCGGCACAGAACAATACCGGTTGTTCTTCTAACCCAATTACCTAGCTAAATACCGGGCTAGGACTCGCCACTCACGGTCCGAACTCCGTCGCCTTCATCTATATACTCAGTTACACAGCCAAGACATTTGTCAATAATTTCCGCGCTTGAAGAATTATTTTAAAACTGTACTGTCCTGCAGTTACCCACTGCTAATGTATTGTACACGTCAAAGTAATGTTGAAAGAATCAGACTTAATCTATTTTGTAAACATTTGGCTTGTTTTAGTTTTTTACTATGATGAATCATATTTTAAAAGTTAAAATGTATTCTTGTGCACAAAAGTGCAGAATAATTTTAGTGGCAACTTGACAAACAAAATAGTTTCGTGAAGGTGTGTTCATTAAAAATAAGATAGGAAATGTAGTACGTAATGCGAAGAAAAGCTCCTGTGTCGGGCACCTCGGAGTGCGCGGGAGGGCGCTCCCACGGGTTGCCGATATTTTTAGTCCACGACCATTACTTGGCACCGACGGCCGCGCTCGCTTGCGCTAGTGATCTTTTTGAAATTTGTTCGGTTCGCGCCTAGGTACGCTCTGAATCTCTAGATAGACCCAGTCTGGGACCGCTAGTGAACAATGAGTGCCGCAAGCTGGGAATAGTGAAAATGAAATCATTATGTAGTGTGTAATCACTGTTTGAAAATTATGACGGTTGCAGGATACTACGTGACTTATCCTAGTTTAAAGAGTGTTATTGTTTCTCAACGTTACTATAAAATTACAAAATATGGCCAGTTTAACCAGTAACAACAGCACGACGAGTCCACGGCGTCAACGTTATAATCGTGCGTCCACCACCAGTGTGACTCAGCTGTTGTCGGACGGCTACTCCAGTTTCATTAACCGTTTAACGAGACGAGGTCCCTCTGAAAAATCCGACACCGCAGTTGATTCTAAACTGACGATACCGCGATCTCGTTTTAATGATAACTTTTCCAATAACACTTCATCACTTTCTAATTTCCGTCGTTACGATAATAATAATGGCCACATATTACCATATTCATCGTTGACTTCAATGGCGACTACACCTAGTTCTAGGAAATTGAATGACGACCGTGCCTACTCCACTTACTTGGGAACAACAAAATCTAGAATTGACACTTCACCATTGCGTTCTACGTCCGGTATTACCACTGTCAGTCGTAGTGACTCATTCCGCAGAGCCCAAATGAAAGATAAATCATCCCCGTTTACCAAAAGGTATCCTCTAAAAGAAAACAACAACAACATTGAACAAACATTATCATTGGGTAGTACTCGCAGTCGTTTAGAAGATAAATATTCTTCTGTTTTGGACCGAATAGCAAGTCAAAAGAAGGAAAGAGCTAGAAAAGATAAAGAACATGAAAAAACATTAGAACCAGAACCTGCTCTCTCGAGAGGTTTAATGAGAAGTTTGACGACGGCCGTTTTTGGAGAACATACTTTTAAAAGGAATAATTATTCTCGCGAAAAGACTAGGGACAAAACTCCTTACAGAAATGCGACTGATCGACGATTATCCAGTCATAAACAAAAAGATAAAGATGAATATAAGAATGGCTTCGAAGTACTGCAAAAGGATCACCATTTCGGTAAGGACCGTGATAGTGTATACAGAAGACATCAACGACGTTCATTGAGGGCTGAGAAAAGCGAAAATAGCGAAAGAAAAACCACAAAGATGACTTTGAGACCAATAGACATAGACCTCCAAACTAGCAATCGAGATCTTATTTCTCCGTTAGCCATAAAAGAAGCTATCTCTAAGTCTAAAATTACAAAAACGCCGGCTTCGTCTCCGACGCGAGATTCGGGTAGACAGAAACAAATATATTTTCCGTCCAGTGATGAAGATGACGATAAAACCCCTGTTGGAGATCTGGTACTGACCGATCGTGAAACGAGACGCAAAGAAATTCAGGGATTGATAATGAAGTATGCGCATTTAGACGAAATGTACGATCGCATTGGAGATAAAAATGAAGTGACGAACGACACGAGTGCCATACGAAAACCGGAGCCCTTAGCTGTTGGAGACGTGGTAGCATTGCCGCCGGAGCTGCGCAGTCGGCATCGTCCCCAGAGACCTCGCCACCAGACGCGGCGCGCGGCAACGCCGCCTGTAAGCACAAGCTAACCGTCTGCGCCTCTGTTTGACGCTAACACAACACCTGGTCCGTCTTGTTTCTACATTCATCTTTAAATATTATAGCAAACTTTGTCAACTCATACACTTTCGTATCAAATACTGAATGCTATACTGAAATATACCAAACTAAGTGACAGTAACGGAAATATTATTGCAAGGATATCGAATCCTAATAGTACTTTTTGGCTTAGAATCGTACCAGTTGAGAAAACGCATCTCCATTAAATAAACTATTTAGGTTTCCCTTTTACGATGTTCTTAAAGTTAAACAGACATGACCTAAGAGTATTGTATTTTTTTTAAATTACTCTCATGTAACTGACGCTAACTCAAGGATGCATGCTTTTTAACGATATTTAAGCATCTCGATTCCATTATATTTAAAAATGAAAATAAAAGACTGGTCCCCCTAACCCTTAGAAATCATTTAGCAACACTAGTCATTGACTAACGATGTTTTTCTTATAAATAAAATAGTGGAATGATAGTGCATGCTTCTTATTTTTAATACAACAAAAAAACTAACGTACTTTTTGTTTGTTTATGCTATTATTTTTAAATTCAGAAAAGCAAGGTTTATGATGAAATTTTTCTAGTATTCGTTAGTATAAATAAATTGTAAATTCGAGTGGACACTAAACCTTATTTCCCAACCTGCGTGATTGGTGTTAATGTCAGTATGAGAGAAGTGCGTGCAGTCACCGGCTCCATCCCGCCCGATCCTGTCCCGAAGGGCAGCGCCCGCCCGTCCGTCCTTTAACAGCATGTACCTCGACAGCAAACCAATTGTCGCTTGTCTGACGGGCAACCGTTCCATTGTCTGATTGTTGGGTACAACACACTACTCGGGTCGTGGCGATCGCGTGGCGTGCTCTCCGTGTCGATGTTGGCGGTGCTCGATGTGCGGTGCGTGCGGTGGTGCGTGTGGCGCGCGTGGCGGCGGACGCGGCTCGGCGGCGGCTCCCGGTGGCGACTTCGGCGGCGCAGAGCTCCCGGGCACGCTCCTCCGTCAAGGACGACAAGGACGGACATCTGGTCTACTGGCCCGGCTATGTCATGGGAGCGAGATGTTCGTGTCCACACCATCACTTTACCGACTTACACATTTCACACCCGTTGTTCAATCACACATAGTACACTAACACGGACACACACATAAGCATTCAGAGAGAACACACCAAAATTGAAAAAAACACCTTCCACTTGATCGCGAATGCGTACAATAACATTAAATACGATACACCAATACAGAAAGTCGAAGAATCAGCATTCCTTTTTTTTTTCATCTAAATTCACAGCCTTTTGGTGATAAAGAAGATTTTAAATATTTTTTTTCTTTTCTTTTATCAGATCTGAAACAGTTTGTGTCCGTGGTTATAATCATCATTCGTGAAAGTCATGCTGGAATGCTTTACATTGTATTTCCGACGTTAATACAACAGTTGAATTCTTTCAGAGTTTATTCTCGGGAAGAACGATGTCTGAAAATCAATGTAAAATTCCGTCTTGACTTTGTAACCGAGTATAATTGACTAACAGTTTCGCCTTGGTTTCATTGCAGACAAAATCATCGACACGCTCGGCGAGGGCACCTTCGGCAAAGTCGTCGAGGTGAAGGATTTAGAGCTGTAAGTGGCGTTTATGCTATTTAATAGAGAATGTAGTATATTGTATAGTAAACTAGCTGACCCGGCAAACGTTGTTTTGCCATATATAAGATTTCTAGGGAATTTCTAGTGTAGAAAAAAAAACTTATTGTAAGTGTGTAAGGATGTGGTAAATTAGTGAAAGAGGCATGTAGCACTGCGATGAGGGAATATAAAAATAACAAAACCTCATTCAACCACATACCTAAAACAAAAAAAAACAAATGTTAGGGGTGGACAACCCTTATCATTTAGGGGTATGAAAAATAGATAGTAGCCGATTCTCAGACCTACTGAAATGCATATAAAATTTCATAAAAATTAGTCAAACCGTTTCAGAGGAGTATGGTAACTAACATTGTGACAGGAGAATTTTATATACCTATAAGATTATAATACGTTTTTAAAGGTAAACAAATATTTACCGTATGTATGGGAACCATTCCCGAAATAATCACAACGATTATAATTATTTTTGTGTGGACGGCGCGTAATGTAACACAATCAAATCCAAGTGACGCGCGAGGTCGATGCCCCTGTCAGATGCGAGGGGTGTGCGTCAGCTGCCTTCACTACAGATGGCAGGCTCAGGAAATATGTTCATTATACTAATCTGAGCAATTGAGGTTATAGTTTTATGACCGACCGCTTTATTGTTTTTAAAGGCAATTATTCCTATCGTATGTTCCCTGCAGACTGTCACCTATACCTACATGGTAAAGGGTCGACTAATGCTGTGACTAGCATTCACTAGCAATGCTAGGGACACAGTCATGTCACCGCCTAGCATTGAAGACTTAATCCTAGTTGAAGACATGTTATATGAGGGGGCATCCTGAAGAAAGGAATGACAAAGAATAAGCATTAAAATGCATAGTCGACGAACCAAAGCAATTCCAAGTGGTAGTGTGGTATTATACTGCAGTATTAGGTGACCATGAGGAATACATCTTCACATTGCATTTTCGTGAACGGTTAATATTAATTACTGAACCGTGTCCTTTAGTAGACGCCCTAATTACATTTTCATATTAGTGATTGTCGCCTATCTTTGTTTACGTGGTCGAGTGCATGACACATTTCGTTTGGCATCCGCTCCGATAATATTCATAACACATACATACATGTATGCTTTAATTGTTTACGTCAATTTCACTTGCACACTGCCAGATATTTTCACAGAGACGCTGATGAAAAGAAAAAACGTAAACGATATAATTAAATATTTTCAGGGAGCACAGAATGGCTCTGAAGATAATCAAAAACGTCGAGAAGTACAGAGAGGCTGCCAAACTTGAGATTAACGTATTAGAGAAATTAGCTGACGTCGATCCGGATTGTAAGAAGTAAGTCGCGTCTGTTGTTTATTTATTTTATAGAGGGGATGCATGTGACTATAGGAGATGTATGAAAATGGTAGTGTAAGGTAAAGAGGTCGACCGAAGAAGATAGGGATGGAGTATGTGAATGATATGAGAGAGAGGAGTGAGTGTTGAGATGACGGCTAATAGAGGAGAATAGAATAGAAAAATTTGCTGTGCCGACCCTACCTAGTGGGAATAGGTGGAGAAAAAGAAAAGATTTATTCAGTTTTATGCACATTATTATTTCTCAACCCCACAAAGATTCTCATCATTAACGCCCCCGCAACTGGTGTAGGGAGTCCAACACTCATATAAATATTAGCATATCCGTTAAGTACATGTATTTTCTACATCGATACCAAGTTGTAAGTCAATCGGATGCATGGTTCAGTAGTTATAACGGAACATCCGTAAAAAACACTGTAGTTTTATTATATTAGTATAGCTTTGTATTTAGTTAGGAAATGATCCGATTTTTCATGTAAGTTGTGAGACAAAAAAAGGTTGATAATGAAAGGTTCATGCGGTGTGGTGTAGTGTCGTGTGTGTCAATATTTGACCTTGCCCGTTTATGTGCGACGTTATGGCTCCGACTGGCGCCGCGCCAACAGGGATCGCGATGTCAACTGGACGCGCACACCGAAATACCACCTCCCCACCGCCGCGCGATCGCAAACTTTCCAGATTCGCTCGTCCCGATATCGAACTAGCGCCCTTGATGTTTACTTCCTCTTTCGTCTATTTACGTACAAACAGTCGAATGATATTATTAGCGTATTTTAGTCGGAAACGTAGGTAGGTAGGTGAGCGATTTACCTACCTATGATACTTCCATAATAAAAACAAAACGTCTCCCGTCATGCTTTTATAAACAGTAATGTCTATTTCTGATTAGAAACCGTTGTGTTTTTCAGTCGTTTTTACAGAATCTTGAAATTATATTAAAAACTTCAATATACATTGGGCAATAAAAATCAAAACCGCAAAATTATAATTTGCGTAATTACTGGCGGTAGGACCTCTTTTTAGTCGGCGCGGGTAGGTACACCACCACCGCGCCTATTTCTACCGTGAAGCAGTAATGCGTTTCGGTTTGAAAGGCGGGGCAGCCGTTGTAACTATAGTGAGACCTTAGAACTCATATGTAAAGGTGGGTACCGATGTCTATGGGCTCCGGTAACTATTTAACTCCATTTGGGCCGTGAGCTCGTTAACGCATCGAAAACAAACAAAAAAATTTGAATTAGACGTGTGACACCACACATTGGTGGTAATAATATTATGTGTATTCTATAATATTGAGATATTACTTTATGGAAGATTTTTGTTTTGATTTTGTTCTTTTTTTGTTTTGTTGTTGTTGTTTGTTATTCTTTTGTTAATGCACCTACCATGCATTATCTCTGCACCACCCTATGGTCGACTGGAAGAGAATGCCCATGGCCTTAAGTCCGCCTGTGTACAAGTTTTGTTTTGTGCATAAAGTATAAATAAATAAAAAATGAATGAAAGAAATAATAATGATGTTTGTTTTCGTTTATTTCAGTTTGTGCGTGAAGATGTTAGACTGGTTTGAGTACCACGGTCACATGTGCATCGCGTTTGAAATGCTCGGTCAAAGTGTATTTGACTTCCTGGTGAGTAAGCGCTCCTCGCGATAAAACATTATTATTCAACACTTCCCGGGGTGGAATCGATAAATATTTCAGTTATTACTGGACTGCTACTTAAAAGACCAATATTTAAATGTTTAAGCTTACGTTGGTAAAGTTTGTCTTGTATGCTAAAGTGTACTAAAATTTCAATGCAAAACTAAATTAATACTTATTTTAGTGTCGCATATTTTGCGGAAATTGATAACGGATTTTTGAAAAAAGTACCTGTTAAAAATCATTTTAAAAACAAATACAAAAATGAAGAACTAAAACACGTCCGTAACGGTACAGGTCGACACCTAATATATCAAACTGCGCAATAGTCGCTATTCTGACGCTTCCCACTTTATACGCATTAATAGAGTATGGGAAATTTCATACTCCTCCGTCCGCGCAATTTTCGTAAAAAGGTGTACAAAGTTTTTGCTTCACGTATTATTAATATATAGATAACTAGCGACCCGCTCTCGCTTCGCTTCTGAAACTGTAATTTACTATCGATTTCTCCACTATTTAATGGATGTTATTATACATATAAACCTTCCTCTTCAATCACTCTATCTATTAAAAAAACCGCATCAAAATCCGTTGCGTAGTTTTAAAGATTTAAGCATACATAGGGATATACTGGTATTACTAGTGGTAGGACCTCGTGTGAGTCCACGCGGGTAGGTACCACCACCCTGCCTATTTCTGCTGTAAAGCAGTAATGCGTTTCGATTTGAAGGGTGGGGCAGCCGTTGTAATTATAGTGAGATCTTAGAACTTATATCTCAAGGTGGGTGGCGCATTTACGTTGTACATGTTTATGAGCTCCAGTAATCACTTAACACCAGGTGGGCTGTGAGCTCATCCACCAATCTAAGCAATAAAAAAAATATAGGGACAGAGAAAGCGACGTTGTTGACTATACTATGTAGTGATAACAGAGTCCCATTGGTTTCCAGAAAGACAACAACTACCAGCCGTACCCGCTGGAGCAGGTGCGCCACATCTCGTACCAGCTCGTGTACAGCGTGATGTTCCTGCACGACAACAAACTGACGCACACCGATCTCAAACCTGAAAATATATTATTCGTTGACAGCGATTACGAGGTCGTCAGCGTCTACACTAGTTCTAAGAAGGTAAACCGTTCGCTTATTTCGCATTCGTCATTTTGTTCGTGCAACTAGAGAACACTTCCTTCCTGTTGTACTGAATAATGAAGTCACATCAAAAACCCAATAAAATGTATTTATATTAATTTGCATTTTGTGTAATAAAACTATAAAACTGGGGCTAATGACCTCGTATGACGTTGAACAATAATTTTTACTTTTAATTAAAGCTTTTATTTCTATTCAACTTTGGTAATGACTGGAAACACTGGAGGCACTGAGTATATCAATTTAAGCAATAAAAAAAAACATATTGTAGGCAAATATGATTGAAAAAAATTAGTTAAACTTATTTAAGCGGCTCACAGTAAATCGAAGCTACCGTTGTTCCAGACACATGACTTAAGACGCGTGAAGCGAAGCGATGTTAGACTGATAGACTTCGGCAGCGCCACCTTCGACCACGAGCACCACAGCACCATCGTCTCCACCAGACACTACCGGGCGCCAGAAGTCATCCTGGGTACGTCCTCCACACGCATATCGAAAGAACACATTTCGAAACTTCTAGAAAGAAAATGTTATCATAGAAACGTTTTTTTTCTCCTACCTACGCCGAAAGTTCGGTTTTCCTATCGCTGCACAGGGAAGAAAGTTAACTTTTCCTCCCTGAGTACAAGTGCGCATGCGCGTTAGTGTCTACGTCTGCTCTCACTCACCTAAAATTCTCCGCCATTGTTGTGCTCGGGTAATTTGCAATATTGTGTTTAGTGTAAAAGTGAAATAAACAAAAGGAAATAAAATTTAATAGTGAAGTATTAAACAAAGATGAGTTCATCAGACAGTTCTTATTCAATTAGTAGTAATTTATTTAAAAATTAAAAAATAGTTAAATTGTTTTTTTATGAGTATGGGGGGGCTCCGCGGTGCATAATGTACTATTGTTCTTATTTAAATTGATACAAGTTTATTCTCGTATAACGTTGGTGAGCGCGTGGTGTATAACAGCGACGTTGCGACGTTCCAGAGCTGGGCTGGTCGCAGCCGTGCGACGTGTGGTCGATAGGCTGCATCATGTTCGAGCTGTACCTCGGGATCACGCTCTTCCAGACACACGACAACAGGGAGCACCTCGCTATGATGGAGAGGATCCTGGGACCCATACCGTACAGGTTCGTAAAGAGTACATTTCGTCTTTTCGCATTAAAAGTGTGCAATTTCCAAAAATATTCGAAATTGAGTTAATATGCGGAATCATTTGGTATCACCAGTATTTTTTTCATAAATACTGTCAAAAGATCGTAGTTTAGTATTAGTTTTTTTTTTGGTTACCTATATTTTGACTACTATTAACAAAATTAATACATAATTTTATCATACTTTAAAAAACAGATAATGTAACTGGTAAAAAATAAATGTTGCAAAGATGATTAATATAAAAAATATCACATGTTAAACCTTTAAAACACTCCTGTAAAATTAGTAAGTTTTGAGATTATACAGTTTTAATGCGAGAATTTTTAAAGAAATGTTCATAATATGAAATTATACGTCCAAATTAGGACGCATCTATTGCCGTGTGTACTCATTGTGAGCTCAGAAAAACAAAATAAGAAAAACTTGATTTCGTTTTTAAAGTCATTATTGTAATATTAATCCAAACACAATAAACTTTCACATGTTTCACACGTTCGAAGCAAAAAAAAAGTCTAACAACAAAGTCGATTAGAGAACTCATTTGAATTCTCACATAAAAGTGAAATTGTATCTGCAATAAAGAACTTGCAAATTAAATGTATTACACCGTTAAAAGAACAGCACAGTGCGGTCGGTGGGTGCGCGCTATTGTGGTCATCGGCCTGAAACACTATTGTTTATTATTTCGGCGAACGGGTTTTTAGACGGTTTTCAGTTCGCCAACTATGTAACTGTGTTTACAGACTAGAACTGTTTCTGTATGTCCGTCGATTTGTGCCGCCGAAAGTAAACAATGGACAATGACTAGACGGGAACTGGGGCACTGGACTGTCTGTTGTCTGTTTTGTTGTGGCGCGTAACGGAGCTGCTGGATTAACATTTGTGCTTTGTTCTAGAATGGCGCGGAAAACTAGAACAAAATATTTCTATCATGGAAAGTTAGATTGGGAAGAAAAATCGTCTGCTGGCAGATACGTCAGAGAAAATTGTAAACCATTATTGGTGAGTTATATTTTTTACATGTTACCATTAATCATGGTTTAATACTACAACTGAAGTGTAGAAGAACGACAAATGAGTTTGATTTATATTTCTTTGTTTTCTTAGAAAATACCTTTATGTAGTAATTGCATTGATTCTCGTCGCGAAACCCATATACTAGCGCATTTCGTTTCAAAATTTCAGTTCAATTTTTTAAATAATAGATTATTGTCACATTCCCATGAAAGCATGGTCTCAGCACGGCTCAAAACGGGTATATGCTGACCAGACTATTCAAACATTGCGAATTTCCAATTCGCTCTATAAACGCGGACCATATTGCACAAAAGAAGTTAATAAATGATAACTATACCGCTGTCCAATGCTGAAGCAAGTATTTTAATTTTTCGAGTGTGTTTTAAAACGTATCAGATTGTGCTCCCTTCTATAATTAGAAATGAAAGGCTCAAACAAAGAAAAATTAAACATGTTCGTCATAAATGTTTACCCAGTGCAAGAGTCGATACCACAAGCCACCGCCAGGCTGATCTGTCCTGGTTTGTCGGTTTTGGCAATTGGGCTTTCTTAAGGTCTCTTTCGATGTTTGACCACCAGGTCGATGGCGGGCGGCCTCTACCTTTCTATTGTTCTGGCAAGTCCAATGCCACCATCACCACATGATCTTCGTCCCGTCTCATGATATGGCCATACCATGGCCGTTTTCCAATTACAGCACAAGAGTGCATTATGCGGCATAATGCTCAACTAAGCTTCAGCATAATTCGGCATTGTGCGTCACTGAGTCGTATTATGCTCTGTAATTGGAAAACTACCATTAAGTAATGGTTAATTACAGAGCATAATGCGACTCAGTGACGCACAATGCCGAATTATGCTGAAGCTTAGTTGAGCATTATGCCGCATAATGCGCTCTTGTGCTGTAATTGGAAAACGGCCATGGTATGGCCATATCATGAGACGGGACGAAGATCATGTGGTGATGGTGGCATTGGACTTGCCAGAACAATAGAAAGGTAGAGGCCGCCCGCCATCGACCTGGTGGTCAAACATCGAAAGAGACCTTAAGAAAGCCCAATTGCCAAAACCGACAAACCAGGACAGATCAGCCTGGCGGTGGCTTGTGGTATCGACTCTTGCACTGGGTAAACATTTATGACGAACATGTTTAATTTTTCTTTGTTTGAGCCTTTCATTTCTAATTATAGAAGGGAGCACAATCTGATACGTTTTAAAACACA